CCCCACACACTCAAAAACAGTCATCATATTTCTATTCTCAAGCACACACTCTCTTCTACATGATTTTAATAACATTCTCCTTTCTGGTCTCTACTTGGTAAAGCCTCTGATACTTCCCCAAGCGGAGTTGGCCATCCCCACTTCAGCACTCCTATTGCATTTATAACACTGCTTTGGGATGGCTGATTTATTTGTCCATCTTTCCCATTTGCCTATGAACTCCCATAAAATGGATATCAAAACACAGTTAAAAGAATAAAGACTCTGGTGTCTGCTGGTCACTTTACATTTACTAGTGGCTGGCCCTGAGCAAGCTACTCAAACTTCTTTAAACTTCAGAGGTTGAACCAGTGATACAAAAAGCTTAAAACTTACACACCCAAATATAACAAATGCTCAGTAAATGTTAACTAAAATGAAGAAATACACACACTTGCCGAAAAATCCAAAAGCTAGTTTTGACAGTTGGAGATTATGAGCTATCTTCTAATTTCCATCCATTGTTCATTTCATAAATAATTTGCAATGAATAAAGTGTTTATCTTAGTGATAAACATGTTCTAGTAAAGCTAAAGATGTTTCATTGCCTATTAGTGAAGACAATAATCATCTATAAAGGTTTTCTTTGCTTTTAGTCATTAATACCCCCAAAACCCAAAAAACAAAAGCAGTTGCTGTTGAGTTGTCTCCTACTCGTGTCAGAGTACAACTGTGATCCACAGAGATTTCAGTGGCTGATTTTCAGATATAGATTGCCAGGCCTTTCTTGTGAGGTGCGTCTCAAAAAAAAAAAAAAAAAAAAAAAACCCAAACTCACTGCCATTGAGTTGATTCCAACTCAGTGACCCTCCCTGCATTGGGTTTCCAAGGCTGTAAATCTTTATGGAAGCAGATAGCCTCATCCTTCTGCAAAGCAGCTGGTAGGTTCGAACCACTGACCTTTTGGTTAGCAGCCAATTGTCTTAACCACAGTGCCACCAGAGCTCCTTCTGAAGTAACACCAGGTAAACTCAAACTGCCGATCTCTCAGTTAGTAGTTGAGTGTGTTAACTGTTTGTGCCTCTGAGGGAATTAACTCATCAAGAAAGAATATGAATCATACAGATTTTTTCTTTTCTTAATGCATTTTACTGAAATATAATTTATGTTCAGTGAAATACACAAAACTAAAGTGACATGGGTCAATGCATTTTTTTTTTTTTTTTT